ACAAGTCTATAGGATCCGGTCTTTTCTGCTATTTACTCATAGCTGATGGGGGAGAGGATTCATACCTTTCCCAAGGGTATTAGCACGTAAGTGAAAGTAATGGGTGTGACTGGAATTCGAACTCGGTTCTTCGATTTCTCAGTCCGAGCCGCTATCCATTACTCCACCATGCGTACAATTCTGTATTCAAAACCATGGAAAGGCGGACGAGAAACCACTTCACTATCATTCCAAAACAAAGCCCTGACAATTCACAGCAATTATAGAGAAAAAACTGTGGATCTATACGTTCATGGCTGCATGACTATTTCAGTCAAATGAAATATATATATCCATTCAGTAATTGAGGAAAATCGTTCCCGAAAACAAAACAAAACGGTATGTCAAAAGGACGTATTTTCCAGTGACACCGCTATTACTTCGAACTACCAACACTCCCTCGGAAATGTTTATTTACAAGATTATAAAAATATGAGAACCAAGTACAATGCGATATTTATTATTTATTATTTTATAAAGCAATAAATATCAAAAGAAATATTTGTATTCAAAAATTTAAATAAAATTACAAAATTATCAAAATATATAAACAATCTACAATGCAATATTTTCTATTTACCTTTTTATAAGTTGTAGGGTGATTATCATTATTAATGAATGAAAATATAAAATAATAATAATAATGTATATCATAAATAACATAAAATAAAACAAATAACATTAAAATCTTGTTTGAAATAAAGTAGATAAAACAAAATAAAAATTCTCCCAGAATGCAACAAAAACTTTTCCTGCCTGCAAAACGGACGGAAGCTCAGAATTCAGACTCTTTCTCTACCGACCGTTGGAAAGTAAAGACGTCCATCTCCTCTCTTCGGGACATCGTAACATGAAGTGGCTTCTCCCTTTATAAACTTGTAAAATGCACACTCACCAGCACACAAAAAATAAATAAAATTGTATAATTTTAATTCACAATTTAACATGTTTTAGTGTTACAGAGTAACCCGGATATAAGAGAGATTTTCTCTGGTCCGAAAGAATTCCCATACTTACCTAAACAAAATAGACCAAACCCGGATATAAGAGAAACCCGGATATAAGAGACGTCTTCTCCGGTCCCAACAACTCTCTTATATCCGGGTTTCACTGTATTTCCGTGTATGTTTTTACCTATGTGAACGCGTGGCTATCGCTGCTGGTGAGTGACCTCAGAAAGTAACGATGAAAATGTTTATACCTAATTCGATAAAATTATCAATGACTAGCAGTAGAGCCCGGCGTTGCCCGGGGATGTAACAGTAAGAGATAGATCAAGTATCGACCATCATAAAAACTGAAAAATAAAATTGACAAAGATTATTGTTTAAGGTTGATGGATACGCATGTCTTTATTAGTTTTTTTTTTTTTTTTTTTTTTTTACGAATTGGTCAAACCCAAACTGAAACAAAAACATTGTTTTCAATCGTTATGAGTCTACCGATTGGATAGAATTTTATTATAAACAATTGTCTTTTAAATGGAATTTTTAAAGCATTCTGAATGTAAAAATAAAGAAAAAAGTGTGCAAGACAATAAGAAACACTACCTGCCAAAAAAAAAAAGTGAAGTTTTGTTGAAATCGGTTGAAAAATGTAGGAAATCTGATCCCATATATAAATGAACACACACACAAACAACCTGGGTTTTATAATAAGTATAACTTGATATGAATTGTCCCCCTTTCATTCTCGTGATTAATTGTGTTTTCAAATTGATTTTGTGCAAAAACAATTGTGTTTTTCCAATTTTGGGCACTGTCAGAACCACCGCAAGGTAATTTTACGTAGTTCTGTGAAGTTTTGTTGAAATCGGTTGAAAAATGTAGGAAATCCGATCCAATATATAAACGTACAGACAAACACACACACACACAACTTGGGTTTTATAATAAGTATGATGTGTTGCATGAAAGGAATTCCCAGAAAACAAGCTAACTTCCCTTGCCTTATGCCAGACATAATCATACTTAAGAACTACAAGGTGGAAGAGATTTTTTCTTTTTTCTTTTTTTATTATCGACCGATGGAGCTATAAATGGTTTTAGCCAAGAGCAACTCTCTGCTTAAAGATAGTGTTTTTTGGAGTTTTTTTTTTTATTTTGGTTTTCTTTTCTTTGAACTTGAGTCCATCGTAATCTTTGCGGTCGCATCATGCTTCTGACTCATTTATTTTCAGACTTTCATTCAGACTTGATGACAGACTGGCATAGCTCGAAGATCACAGCCCTCAAATTGGTCAACGTGTCCCAAGTCAACCCTCTTGACCAAACGCCGAGCTTAATTGATTCTTAAAATATCAGATCTGAAGATCTTTGACGAGCAAACCAACCTAAAAATAAAACACCGTATTCCTGGACTCCACACAGGAAATTGACCGACCGCCATGACGACCCAGATTCCATGACCTTCCGGTGCTAAAATAGCAGACAAGAGATTTTTTTGTTCGATCTGCTGCCGTTTTGGGTGAAGATTTAGGAATTTAGACAAAAGAATTATTTTGGAAACACTCGTCCATTCGTTTGCATTTCATTGTATTTTTTTACAGGATGTTGCTTCTCTGTTTTGCATGACATCTCCATTGAATATGAAGCGCTAAACAAGACATTCCGTCCTTTTTGGTATTTCTTCATTTTTGCAACTATTTTCATTGGCTGTTCGCGTTCACTCTTTTTCTTTATTTCATAGCTTTTCCTTTTTCTTTTTCTTCTTGACTTTTTCTCATTCGCTTTCGTTTTGTTAATTTTTTTGTCTTTTTTTATCCGCCATCTTTTTTTCTTAATTTTCTACTGATTTTCTTTTATTTCGTCCACTTTTTTTTCCTTTTCTTAATTTTTATGATTTCTGTTTTCAACTTTATTTTTCTCTTCGTTTTTTTTTTTGTTTCATTCTATTTTATTTTTGTTTCATTCTTTTTCAATTCTTTTTCATTCTTTTTTTATTTTTTGTGATTCATTCTTTTTTTCTTCTTTGTTTGGTTCTTTTTTTCCTATAATTTAAGTTTGGTCTTTTACACCTTTTAAAATTTTCTGTTTTTCTATTTCTTTCTTGCATTCTTATTTCTAACATTTCTTCATCTTGTTTTTTCTTTCTTGCATTATTATTCCCGCCATTTCTTCCTCCTCTTCTTTCTTTTTTCTTTCTTGCATCCTTTTTCCGACCATTTCTTCCTCTTCTTCTTTCTTTTCGTTTCTTGCAGTCTTATTCCTACCATTTCTTCCTCTTTTTTTTTCTTTCTTGCAATCTCATTCCTACCATTTCTTTCTCTTGTTTCTTTTTCTTTCTTGCAATCTTATTCCTACCATTTCTTCCTCTTCTTTCTTTTCGTTTCTTGCAATCTTATTCTTACCATTTCTTCCTCTTCTTCTTTCTTTTCTTTCTTGCAATCTTATTCTTACCATTTCTTCCTCTTGTTGTTTCTTTTCGTTTCTTGCAATCTTATTCCTACCATTTCTTTCTCTTTCTTTCATTCTTATTCCTATAATTTCTATCTCTTCTTTTTTCTTCCTTTTACATATTTCCTTTTCTCCTTTTTACATCTTTCTCTTTTCTTTCTTTTCTGACTATTCTTTTTCTATTAATTTTTCCCTTTTGCATTTTTTAATTAACCTTATTCTTCGTTTTTCTTCATCTTCTGACACATTATTTTTATCCTTCTCCTTTCTACTTACCTACACAGTTTAGAGTAATTATTATTATTATTATTATTATTATTATTATTATTATTTTTATTTTCTTTGATTTCTGGCGTTTACACATTTCTTTCCAGGTCCCGCCCAGGGACCTAAGGTTAGAAATGACAGCATGACACTTTCCACTGACAAAAAAAAATATTATTATTATTATTATTATTATTATTCCCATGGCTGGTTTTCCTATCTATATTTTTCTATTCTTGTTTCTTAGAGCTTAAACATTATTATTAGTAGTAGTAGTATTACTAGTAGTGGTAGTAGTAGTGATATTATTAGCAATTTTTCTGGTAGTGACGATGATGGTAGTAGTGTTGTTGGTGGTGGTTGTAGTCGTCGTGGTAGTGGTGGTGATGGTAGTAATGGTGGTGATGGTAGTGATGGTAGTGCTACGACTACCGTAGCAGTTGGACCGGTGGTATAAGTAGTGGTGGCGTTTGTGGTAGTAGTATTACAGGTGGTGGTGATGTTAATAGTAGTAGTTGGGATAGCAGTAGTGGTGGTGGTAGTGGCGGTGATGGTAGTAGGAGAGTGAGTGGAGGTGGTGTTAGTAGTAGTATTAGTGGCGGTGGTGTTAATAGTTGCAGTAGTAGTAGTAGTAGTAGTAGTAGTAGTGGCAGTGGTGATTGTAGTAGTTGTTTTAATAGTAGTATTAGTAGTATTAGTAGTAGTATTCAATATTCCTCCTTCCCGATTCTTAGACATGCTTCGGCCGGTCGATGATGGTCATATCTCAGCTTCGATCATCAGCTGTTCGAAGCGGCCCTGCTGCCTGCGCATTTGCAATGATGTCAGGAATCCCCAAAGCATCTTGCGAGGCGGTGAGTTTCCGGGAAATAATCCAGTGTGAACTGATCATAAAATTATTATTATTATTATTATTATTAGCAGCAGCAGCAGCAGCAATAAAGGGAGTTGTATTCCCTAAGCTGTTTTCTTCCTACGTACATTCCTCCACGCTTTTTCAATAGACCTTGAACATTTTCTTCTTGTTCTTTCATTCATTTTTCTTTTCCTTTTTCACGACTCTCTTCATTTTTTTCTTTCTTTTTCTTTTTAGCTTTCCTTTCACTTTTTCTTCTTTAGCCGTTTTCCTTTTCTTTTCTTCTCTTTACGTTCCTACACTTTTCAGCATGACTACCTGTGGTTTTTCTTTCTACTACTTTATTGATTTTGATAAGAACATAAAACAAAACAAACATAAAGACAGCATATGGAAAGGAAACTTATCAAAAGCACCGGGTCTTGTGACTGAGACAGTTACGTCTATCATATTGGTTCTAGTGGTCTGTATTCAAACAATTGGTAAACTAATAGATTCCGAATGTCTTTAAGACATAATTTAAATTCCAACTTTTTACTGGGATGGACTTAAATACATATGAAAAGCTACGGGACTTATTGGGAAGCAGAGGGAAGCAGTGAATAACCAACCTGACGAGCATGCGTAGATTGCCGACAGAACATGGATTGGGAGATATAGCAAAAATACAATATTTATTGTGTGGGAGGAAAATGTGTCGAAGCCTGATAGCCCGCATTCAGAACACATGGCACATAGAAGAACATAGATAGATAGACAGAGAAATTCGAAGAGGACATGATAAACATAGTTCGAACCTTGAAATTCAAAAGACACTTGGAATAACACCAATACACGCAATCTACATAAACCCAAATTTTTTAAAACATTAATCAGTTTGTCTGACGATCGCTAAAGCGTGAAACCCAGGGTCACAAACTCACATCTATCCAACCAAATATGTTAGCTCTATCTCTGATATTGAGCGCTTTCTAATAAGTACCGCGCATATAATATATAAATAATTATACATATATATATTTATTTATATTTATATACACTTTTCACACACACACACACACACACACGCATATAAATATATATATATATATATATATATATATATATATATATATATATATTTGTGTATTTAGGCAGCATGCACATTTCATTGAAAAGGACAGACAAAGTGCTTTTATTTAGTTTTTTATACAATTTGTCATGCGATCAAATATTTTTTTTTTGTTTTCGGATGATAAATTATATAAATATATATATATATGTGTGTGTGTGTGAAAGAGAGAGAGAAGAGTAGATTGTCATATATATATATATATATATATATATATATATATATATATATATATATATATATATATATATATATATATATATATATATATTTGATTTCTCCTGTCGACTTCTGTCGTATGAGGGTCAAGCAGATCAGTTCCCAGGAAACCGACAGCCCGACAACAGCTCATGAGATTTGATTATAGTGGTGAAGGTTTCGTGCAGGACCATCCACACTTTTTGAAGGGACGAATTCAGAGACCTAATGCACTACGTGCCACAAGGTCCCCAAACAACCCCCCGCAGGTTTTGAATTCAGAGTTGTCCTTCTCCTAGATAGGTTGCCATCCAAGGCTATAGAACCCAGTCTGTCCTGCTATTTACCCATAACTGGAGGGAGAAGAGGATTCATGAATGTAATGAATTCGACTGAATTCGAACTCGGCTCTGCGATTCCTCAATCGAAGCCGCTATCCTTACTGCACCTTGCCTCCTCATATATATATATATATATATATATATATATATATATATATATATATATATATATATATATATATATATATATATATATATATATATATAATGATAGAAATAACGACACATCCGCCCGTAGAGAAAAAGACAAAAGAATATTTAAAGATTTTTTAAAATTAGCATTATTCCTTTATCCACCACATTATATCAAAGTCGAAAAATAGTCACTTTTTATCATTTTTGAAGTGGGGGTCTAGCTCATAATATAAATGAAGTACCAAATCGATCCCTGACTTCTTAAAGTGTTGTGACTCCTTTTTTTTTTTTACTTACAAATGTTTAGTTTGAAACCCTAATTACATCTTGTGCCACAGCTTGCGAATGATAGTGTCTTTTCTCTCAATTTGTAATCAGACGCAGTTATCAATAACATATGCAAATTTTTTGCACCTAACATTTATAAATAAAGTATAAAAGAATTCTTTATGAAATCAGAACTGATCGATTGATTAACTTTTTTACGGGTTATCAAACTTTCCCTATTTATTTTGGCCTGAAAATATTTTTAAGTTTGTAAGATTTTTTGGAGATAACAGTCATTTACCGATAACTAATTAACCCATAGCTGGGTGGAGATGAGGAGCTGCAGGAGTAGTAACTGTAGTAGAGCTGTTATTGGGGGCAATAGTCATCGTCGTAGTAGTAGTAGTAGTAGTAGAAGTAGTAGTAGTAGTAGTAGAAGTAGTAGTCTATATTCCTCCCCGATGCTTAGATATGTTTCGGACGGTCGATGATGGTCATATCTCAGCGACTATCATCAGCCGTTCGAAGCGACCCTGTGGCGTCAGGTATCCCCATAGCATCTTGCGAGACCAAGAGGTTTGCAAATAGTCCAAATAGAATAAAATTGAATTGAATAGACTGAGATAGATAGATAGATAGATAGATAGATAGATAGATAGATAGATAGATAGATAGGATAAACCAGCGAGCCATTTCTCTGCTGAGGTCCCTGATTATTCTGATACCCTTCTCAATATGTCAAGGTTGCTGAGCAGTTCTAACAGGTCTTTGAAAGAAAGAAAGAAAGAAAGAAAGAAAGAAAGAATTGAACTTGATAGATAGATAGATAGATAGATAGATAGATAGATAGATAGATACCAGTAGACTGAGATAGATAGATACCAGTAGACTGAGATAGATAGATAGATAGATACCAGTAGACTGAAATAGATAGATAGATAGATAGATAGATAGATAGATAGATACCAGTAGACTGAGATAGATAGATAGATAGATAGATAGATAGATAGATAGATAGATAGATAGATACCAGTAGACTGAGATAGATAGATACCAGTAGACTGAGATAGATAGATAGATAGATACCAGTAGACTGAAATAGATAGATAGATAGATAGATAGATAGATAGATGGATAGATAGATAGATAGATACCAGTAGACTGAGATAGATAGATAGATAGATAGATAGATAGATAGATAGATAGATAGATTTCCCACGTGTAAGTGAATATAAAGAATCCAACAGAAATTTGAACACCGTTCTCTGAGTACAAGTTCCGAACCGTTATTATTACACCACCTGCACTTCCAATCTTACAGCGCCTCGTATTCTCAAGCTGTCATTCATTTGATCTTACGAGAAGTGATGTTTCAAGGTGGTATGTCTATAAGCTCTGATGAATTGGAAAGTTTTCTAAAAATGTTTTTAAACCATCTATAGTTTTTCCTTTCTACCAAATGCCGTGGTTTTGATGAAGTTTTAATAATTGCTAATTTTTTCAGAAATTATTCGAAAACAATTATTTTTTCGTTTTTATTCATGACGAGCGGGTGAGTTCATTTTTGTTGTCATTTTTACGTAAATTGCAATAGATTTTAAAGCAGTGTTTACCAATTTCTTTGTTATTGGATTGGTGAATAATTATCATTTTAAACAATATTTATTATAGAAAAAAGAAACATAGCAATTTAACAACATTTTTAAATGATTATTCCGGAGCGTATGATTTTCGACACGCATTTTTATGAAGTGAAAATAAAATAATATTTGTCTATATTTCTGAGATGAGGTATTATGTGCATTATTTACATTATTCGAACTATTGTCCTCATCTTTGTCGCCATATTTTTACATCGTTTCGGCCTTTCAGAATCTGTCTATATTTCTTAGATGAGGTATTATGTACACTATTTACATTATTCGGACTATTGTTCTCATTTTTGTTACCATATTTATTACAACGTTTCGGCCTTTCAGAATCTGTCTATATTTCTGAGATGAGGTATTATGTACACTATTTACATTATTCGGACTATTGTCCTCATTTTTGTTGCCATATTTATTACAACGTTTCGGCCTTTCAGTATCTGTCTATATTTCTGAGATGAGGTATTATGTACATTATTTATATTATTCGGACTATTGTCCTCATCTTTGTTGCCATATTTATTACAACGTTTCGGCTTTTCAGTATTTGTCTATATTTTTGAGATGAGGTATTATGTACATTATTTACATTATTCGAACTATTGTCCTCATCTTTGTTGCCATATTTATTACAAAGTTTCGGCCTTTCAGTATCTGTCTATATTTCTGAGATGAGTTATTATGTACATTATTTACATCATTCGGACTATTGTCCTCATCTTTGTCACCATATTTATCACAAAGTTTCGGCCGTTGTACGCTCCGGCCTTCTTCAGGCGGTTGGAATGTCGAACTGAACCCTTTATTTCGCTCACCGGCGTAGGCTGTTCTAGTTCGAAGTGTCATGTTAAATGGATGTCAGTTATCAGTTATCCCCTGTTAATTTCCCTCTGAAAGTTCTCCACTGCCTGAACCGGGTCTTGAACTCACACTCTTTGGGTCCTGTCACTGGATCTAACCAACGCCTTTATGAGGGAAATTAACAGGATAACTGACATCCATCAAACATGGCACGTGGAACCAGAATAGTCTACCCCAGTGAGCGAAATAAAGGGTTCAGTTCGACATTCCAACCACCTCAAGAAGGCCGGAGAGTACAACGGCCGAAACGTTGTGATAAATATGGCGACAAAGATGAGGACAATAGTCCGAATAATGTAAATAATGAAAATGATATTTTATTAAAAAAAAACAGTAAACAAAACAGCAATTTTTATTAACAAATAACTCACCTAGAAGAACGCCTGATAATTACGCACCAACCCTATAACTGTCGTCTTTTTGATGGGGTATTTTTCGCGTTACCTTTATTTAAAGCAATGTTCTTTTCACTTTTATATCATCTTTAGAATTCTGCTTTATTATAAACAGCAAAAAAATTCAGTAAAAAGAAACACGAAATCGAATAAACAGACGTTTGCTCGTAAGCTAAAGGACTCTGAAAGAATGGCTCAAGACTTTAACCTGAAGAGGGCGAAACATCAATTTTTAGAAGCTCATCACCAGGAAACGCGCGGGCGTGGGAGGGCGCGTGGGTTGGTTGGCCAACAGTCAGGTAGAAACTGACACATGATTTCTCTTTGGACGTTTCCAGAAACCTTTTGCTGTCAGTTAGAACGGCGTTCGGGAGTTGGCGGCAATGTTAGAGTCGGCACGGCTTTGGAAGTAAAAAAAAAAAAGCAATTTTGGCAGGAAAGTCCATTACGGGAAACGTAAAGCCTCTTTGGAGGTAAAAGGAAAATTGTGGTTGGGGTGATGGAGTAGTAAGGAGAATATAAAAAAACGGGAGAAAGTAAAACGGATGTATAGTGATTTCCACCCCGTCTTTTTTTTTTTTTTTTCGGGGTGGTGCTAGAATGGGTTAGGGTATTTGAATTGAAACTAGAATATGAAAACAGAAAGTATATTAGGCAGGTATTGTTGTGGGTAGCACAGAGAAGTAAATTTAGGGGTGTAAAGATAACAACATCAGGTATACGGTTAGAGAAACAAAGAGATTTGAGTGACGTGTTCGTTTAGATGAATGTGTATGAATTGGATATAAGTGTATTTCAGAATGTTTTGTTTAACGGCATATCAACACCTTATGGGTCATTTAATGCCGAAATTTTCTTTTCTTCTGAGCTTCGGTAAATGTTTTTTTTTTAATTTATTGCTGTGAATTTTTTTTTAAAACTATCGAAATATATTGCTTGTAAGTTTTTGTAATGTGTTTTAATATTTTCATTTTTTTTAGCCAAGATTGGGGGTAAACTATATGCCCATATATGGGACCCTAACACGTGGTTCCACCCTGAATCAGCGTGAACCAGGAAACAAAAGCAATTAAGAGATGGTTCTACGCTCCCCAATCCTCAAAACATCCTGATAAGAGGCCTGGCTGCCGCATGTCGTTAATCGTCATACTCAGGACGGCAATGTTAAAATGTTATCTACATTCCTCATATATATATATATATATATATATATATATTAAAGATATTTTTATGTTTAACGTTCTTTTTATAGATACAAGTATTTAAGTAAATGCTCTGTTTATAATAAACAGTATTAAATAACATTTACCGGCCTGAATGTCCGAGAAATTTTCATAGAAAGGACGAATATTTTCTATGAAAACGATACTTTGTGGCCGAGCGGTCAAGGCGCGTCAGCGTAAATGACGGTACCGTATAGGATGCAGGTTCGAATCCTGTCAAAGGACGAATATTTTCTATGAAAATTTCTCGGACATTCAGGCCGGTAAATGTTATTTAATACTGTTTATTATAAACAGAGCATTTACTTAAATACTTGTATCTATAAAAAAAAAAAAAAAAGAACGTTAAACATAAAAATGTCTTTAATAAATAAAATTGTCGGACTTTGTCCATTTCTTAATATGTATATATATATATATATATATATATGCTCCTGAAAATTTATTTCATTTGAGCTCTCTGGGGAGGGAGTGTGGGTTTGTAAACAATGACTATTACGGCTAATAATGCAAGACTCTTCGGTAAATCGGGTTCTCTCAGGCACTGTGTGTTTATCTAAAAATAAATACGCTTAAATTCACCAACATCCGTGCCGTGCGCAAACGGCTTAGTGGTAGAATCCCTGACTGATGACAAATCAGTCTGGTTTCAAATGAATTGGATATACAGTGACACGCATAAGTATTGGATACATGTTATTTTCTGTTATAACTCTAGTTTATGTTCGCCATTTTGCCTGATATTTGGTAAATAAAATCTTGTAAAGTTGTTTCAGTTGTATTTGGAAGGAAAATTAAAACTCATGGTTGAATCCATTTTTTTTATCAAAGTTCAAAATTACTCTATGCAAAAGTATTGGATACATGACACTTTTTCCAAATTTCCAATCGAAACTTTGTATTTTAAAAAACTTTAAATATTCAAATTTTCGATAGTATTGGAATGTTATCTCTGACCAGTCAGAGAAGCACATAATTGTTTACAAGATAGTGCTACTAATCATCTGACTCTTCAAATTCTGCAAATCAAGGATTAAAAATGACAAAAACTAAAGAATTATCCAGAGATATGCGAGATAGAATCATTGAACGTCACAAAGGAGGACAAGGTTACCGAAAAATTAGCAAAGAAATGAATCTAGCACTAAGTACAGTAGGAAATATCATTAGAAAGTATAAGAAGTATGGCGACGGTACAGCAAACCTTCCAAGAAATGGAAGACCGAGAAAAATAAATGAGAGTTCTTCAAGGTGGATCAGCAGAAATGTGCAAAAAAAACCCTTCATTACTCGTTCTGAAATTAAAACTGATCTTAAGGGTGCTGGAATTAAAGTAAGTAAGGATACCATTAGCAGAGCTCTATATCGTACAGGCTTTCATTCAAGATCACCAAGAAAAGTGTCTTTACTGAAAACCAAACATGTCAAAGACCGATTAAAGTTTGTCGAAACTTATGAAAAGATAGGTATGCAGTTTTGGGAAAAGGTAATCTGGTCGGATGAAACGAAAGTTATTTTCAGGAACCACTTGCATCTTAGAGTCTTGCTTGGATTGAGATAATAAAAAACAAAATAAATAGATACTAGTCTTTTACACAAGTTGAAAAGTTATTTCTGTGACTCAACAAACACTCGTCGCCACTTTTGTGATGCCAACGAATGCTCGTTGTCACTTTCGTAATGCTCGTTGTAGTAGAGACTTTGTAATCGCAGATACAACTATAGTAACGCTGTTGAACATATTAATACGCCATTCCACGCAGAGTAGTTTGGTGATCATTTTCGAAATCAGCTACCAATTTGACTTTTACTATTAAGACTGAAGTAAATAAATGCTTCATCAACATATATACCTAGTTGAGAACTGAAGACATCAGGAGGGTCCTTGATGAAAATTAGAAACAAATTAGGTCCACGGATAGAGCCCTTTAGTACAGAAGGATCTAGAAGAGTAGACATTCCAGACAACCTTCATTCCGTGATTTGATAAAAGAGACTGAATCAGTTCAGAATTCGTTCAGAAATATCCTAACTGATATACAGTGATAAAGTGTCGTGCCGACACTTGAGTTTAAACATTGAGCAAACACAGGCGATCCCGTTATTGGATTAAGTGGATCACGTGACCATAGAGGTAACGCATATATGTAGGATGTCGCGTGACATTTCTACTCTATCCTCTATTACTATACGGACCGCGATTCTCTATTCTATTCACTATACTATTTCTCTATTCGGATCACTATACAGATTACTATTCGATCGAGTATTATCGAGCAAGTACTATTAGTGCTAGTGTTATTCGAAGGTGTCTGACACCAGTATTGTTCAACGGCGTTACTATAGTTATATCTGCGATTACAAAGTCTCTACTACAACGAGCATTACGAAAGTGACAACGAGTATTCGTTGACATGACAAAAATGAAGAAAAGAAGAAGAAACGTGATTGACTGATTTGTTTGATAAACGCCATATCAACTCCTTATATGTAATGCCCAAAATTGATTTTCTGGGGTGCTTTTCAGCAATACAAAATGTATTTTTCTTCTTTCACAATTGAATACGTGGTAGAGGATACACAGGTTTTGTGCCTATATGTTATGGAGTGGTTTCACAGTGGAGGCTTGTAGTTGTACTAAGTCGGTCCTAAAATAGGTTCGACGTACAAAACGTTAGGAACTTGATATAATAAGAGAAATCTAGTCGTGGTCGCTGATACTTTAATATCCGACTAACGGTCGTCCGGCATCGACTGATTGAGCCACTGAGCGACTCCCTCGTTACTCTTACTGCTCCTGCTTATTATAGGTGGGAGAGTCTATTAACTATAGAATAGGTGTGTCCCACTATAACACTATACATGTCTGTGTGGACATAATCACTAGTGGCGGTGATATGTAGGTTTTATGTTATATTTTGGAATACAGTTTCTTTAAGAAATTGTAGGATGTTATATGGATTAATGTCAAGAAAGGATTCTTTATTGTTGGTTGATTTTGTTTAGTGGCATGTCAACCTTGATGGGCCATGGTAGACCTGGGAACAACAGTAATTAAGTGGTGATTTTACGCTACTCACAGCCTCCAATCCCCCGATCAGTGACCTTGACGACGGATGTAGTTTATCGTCATACCTAGGCAGCAAGTTCTCATCAATTTACATTCGACTTCGCTACACGTAACCGTACCTACTTTGCTAATAGTCCCTTTTTCTTGTACTTATTGCTCTTGGAACTCTCTCTTTTCTCCAGCCAATTTTGATCGTCAAAAATGTATATGAAACGTCAATGTGAAACTACTCTTTTCCTAGTTGTTCTTTTATTGATCTCGTTCCTTAATAAAGTTTTTATTCTTTTTTCATTAAGACACAGCCGTGTCTTAGTGGATTTACTGCAATGCTTGGGATTAAATGATTGAAAATAAAGTAAATAAAACTTTTTTTTTCTCCTGGTCTGAAGACTCCATCCGATAACAAAATAGTAACATGTATAATTACCTTTTTTAAATTGAAATAACGAAATATTCCAATTAATTCTGGGAGGAAATTTAAAATATTATATTTGCGAAATATCTATAGAAGACGTCGGCTTCTTCTGTCTTCGAAATAACACAATACACTTTGGTTAATGTGCCTTGTGTATCAAGATAAACATTGAAGCGAGCACAATAATTCATACGGTACTATATACATCAACACTGTGATATTTCCAAATATCTGAAAAGTGGCTAACAGACGCCCTACCCAGAAGAAAAACTCCATTCCAGCCTGATGACGCAGAACAACATTATATATTTTAAAATGATTGCTGGAACAGTATTTACAGCAACGACGATAACATACAGAGGCACTTTGATTGACATTCTTGCTAACATAAACAAACCTTTCATCCAAGCTTTGCACAATTTTCACACAGATTTGCACAAATTTTTGACGATATAAATCGTTTGACGATATATATATACATACATATATATATATATATATATATATATATATATATATATATATATATGAATGTACGTAGATTCATAGAAGATTGAGGTTCATATATATATATATATATATATATATATATATATATATATATATATATATATAAACTTCAGTCCTATTCTTATAAGTTCTTTTCCAGAAATAGGATTGACTATGAGCCTTTCCAAAGCAGAAGTTATGATC